CTTATCTCAAGAAATAAAAATTTTTCCTATGTGACGTAGTTTTAAAGACGAGAGTGTTTGTAAAGAATTTTTTAAATAAATACTCGAGAGCATAGTTTTTCATTCAACTTGAAATTGCTTCGTCATTGGACATCCGCTTTTGTATCGATTCCATTATCACCTTAACAAAACAAAACTGGTACTATCAAACGCTAAGAGAAATGTGATATGTTGACTTCAACCAGATTAGCATACAAATATTCGATGACGCTTTCATTGATATAGGAGAAAATCTGCATTTGAAATTGTACTGATAAGAAATCTGCACTTTCAAAAATACACTTTCTTACAATCAACATGATACAAGAATTTTTAAGAAAATAAAGTAACACTGTAGTTACATTTATGTCTCTATTCTATTCATGTACAGAATCAATTAAGTTTTTCTCCGTTTTATATTTAAAAGAACAAAAGAGTACCTCGTATTAGATTATTCAGGTTCATTGTGGTTTACATGGAATGTGTATCGTTTATTCGTGCTCGAACCGCACCGAATTTTTTGTTTTTCGCGTGCCCAGTTTTTGAGTACTACTACGAACGCAATGCACACAGGAAATCGAAAAAAAATTCATTCATCTTGTCGAGTGATGCCATGTGCAGCGTTATAGTAGCGGATTTCGATATATATCGGTCGATAAAGGGCCCGGTCGCATCAACTGCCCCTCTCGCTCTCTCGTTGGCAGTATACTCGGGGACCCCAATCCAACGGCTACGCAGCCAACGCACAACCAACGCCAACAGCCAGCACACATGTCCCCGAAGAGCGTATATGGTTGAAAAATTTTATTCGAGTCGCGCCTGCAGCCGAAGGAGAACACGAAGAGCAAAGGAGAGCGCAAAATGGACCCAGAATTGAAATCTAGTCTCGGTGGGGCCGTCACATATGGCGTTGCTATATTAATGGCATAAGTGCTGCTCCTGCTCCTGTATGTATGTGTGTGCGCGCTTATGTATCGGTGCGCTTTGCACCCCAACTGCCAGGTGTGCGTTAGGAAAAAGGTGAGTCGCGCGCGCGCGCGCCTGCTTGCCTTTCCCCTTCTTTTTTTGCACGTTTAAGGATAGAGAGGAGAGAGAGAGAGAGAGAAAGAGAGAAGGAAAGAATAAACCAGCTTCCTTCCGATACTTTGTGCCAGCGCACATAGGACGTCGCACTGCAGCAGCAGCAGCAGCAGCAGCCGGGAGGGGTTCGATGCGTCGTGTACGTACACTTCTTTTTCCTCGTAATTATACAGATTTATTCAAGCGCTTGGTTAGACATTGAATACACGTATACGTAAGTACGCACACACGCACAATTGCAAATTATCAAAACTAGATCGGTTGAGGCGAGGAAGAAGACGACACCTTTGGCTTATAAATTGCTCGCAAAGCAAATAGTCATACATAAAGAGAGAATTGAAATTGTGAAATTGATTTTCGAATTCGCGTGGCACGTCTTTATATGGAGCTGCGTTGATTTTTCTTCTTTGCGTCTTGTATTTTACGACCAGCTCGCGTCTATACAATATAATGTACGGAAGCTGGCGATTAAGCCTCTATATAGCCCAGATATCTGCAGGCCGCACACGAGCTCGGCTGTGCCAAACACCTATGATCGAATTATAATACGATACGCTCGACTCCTCTCTAATCTTGTAAATTATATAAATACAGAGCAGCATCTAGATCGAGCCGTGGCCTCTGCGCACAAGCGGAGGAAGTGTCGGTTCTTCGAAAATCTATTTAACAGCGAAAAAAAGATTATACGCGTTTTTTTAATCGCCAGCACGGATCTTCATAATTAGATATACGCAATTTTTTTCTTTCTTACTCTGCTTTCGCGATGGCATTAAGATCTTCGTGATTTATTCAAATAAATTCATCGCACGCGCCCGATACCAATCAAAAATCGATAATTTTAAATATATCCATGTAAGATGAGGTTCAATATACTTCTTCAAAATGGATTTATATTGGTACTAAAATCTAAGAATTTCCACTTCAAATATTGTACTCGAAGGAGTACATTAGAAATAACAGCGCACGTGTGCCCATGTATGAGTGTCCATGTGCAAGTCATGCGACTCTCGAGGTTTTCACTGTCGCAATTGTATAAAGTTCGCTCTAATTTTTTGTCCCCCTCCCCGTCGTCCAAATTACTTGACATGTCGAGGTAATCTTTCGTATATTATACGCATACACTCTCGGGCCTAGCGTGAATTTCCCTATGTCCTATCTGGTACCTTGTGGGCTTGGGCGCACTAGCAGCGATTGTCGAGAGACAGAGAGAGAGAAAAAAAAAGGCTATACGGCATTAAGCATAATTTTATCTAAGCGCTACCCGACCTTTCGGGGTAGTAGCTTCTTCATCGACCCTATTTTCATGCGTTTAGCAATGTAGATTATTCGTGCATAGACACGCACGTACAGCCGGGTACACATTATGGTGAATAAGTCCAAAAGCTCCTGCGTGACAGGTAGATGTTTGTCGTTTTGTACGTATAGACGACGATGTGTGTCACAGAGAAAGAGAGCAAAAGAGGGCTGGGGAGAAAAAGACAAACCACACGCATAATACCGTTTTGAATATGTAAAGTTAGCTTCTTGAATGGCCCCGATACTGATCATTTTTTATTGTTCAAACGACTCGGAGGAGAAAAATTACACGCCTGTCTAGCAAAATTTTTCCACTTAAATTATATCGATCGTGGTAGACAAATCCTCGATGTGTTATATCTTTTTTCTTTCTCAGTAAATGATTTGAAAATGATCGCTAGATTACTTATAGTTGTAAGAGAGAAACTGAATTAAAAAAGTGAACAACAACAACAACAGCAACAAGTATCAACATCAAATACAAAAGATTTTTCGCGAGATTAAGCGCGTCGAGAGCTGTAAGGTCGGCATTTTTCAACCCACTTTTTCTTTAACATATTATACTCTTGATTAAAACATTCATCCGATACACTTTTGAACAATGTGAAAGAGACTCGTGCTCTCGCACATTCTCGCGTTCATACAAGTATAAGTACAGTACCGTACCGAACTTCCTATAATACCCAGGCGCTAAGCAACACAGCCACCGCCGCCGCCGCGCACATGCCTAGGCTTGTCGAACATTATAAGCTATTCGAGCTTCGATCGACTTTCCAATCCTTCGCGTTTATATGCGCATATATGCGCTTATATCTCTCCCGCGCATTGGGCCTCTCTCGCGCGGCGAATATAATCGATCGGCTTGTGCGCGCTTACGCAAGCCGCTGCCGTGATTGCACTTCTGTCTATACGAGTGTGTGTGTGTGTATGAGTGCGCATACAAGCACGTGTGTCTACGTGTATATACGCGAGAGCGAGTGAGAGAGCACACACGTATAATATAAGAGCGTCGAAAAATCTCAGTCATGTAGATGTATACATATACAGCTATGCGTGCTTCGGAGTCTATATACCTACCGTATAAGCGCCGAGCTCGAGTTTGTGTCCCCTCCACCATAGGCAGCTGACTGGCACGCGACCGTCTGCGCGCCTCGAGATCTCCAGTTCGAAATTTTTAAGAGCGAGTACTATATAGCTGTATATATGCCTGATAGACTTGAGGATCTTCTCGAAAACTCTTTCGTTTACTTTTTTCTGAATTTAGACTCAAAAGGTATGAAAGGTCATTTTGACTTTCGGATTTTCTGTACGGTAGCGAGTGATTGTACGAAGTGACATCTTTGACACGAAAATTTAGAAAATAGAATGTATTCATTTTATGAACTTGATACTTTTTTACATTGTAGCATTATTATACTCAATTATAAGCTCATATGTTTCGAGCATGAATGCATGTGTCGTTAAAAATGACTCAGCATTTACTTTTGATGCACGTGAGATGAGCTGTGGATAGACGCTCTATTTTCGAAATTTTTTATGTATTTGTACCTGATTGAGTAGGTTAATCTGAGCACTGATTTCTTAGCTTCTGATATTACAAGTTAAAAGTTAAATTCATTACAGTGGGTTTCGGTTGAAGTGACTATGAGAAAATAATTAAAATCTTATGTTTACCTGAAATCATACTGCAACTTTATTCCGATTGAAATTACTATACATTCATAAAATATTTGGTTTTACCTGTACGGCTATTGAAAAATGAAATTTGATATGTAAATGGGACAAATCAGAACAGAGCTGTATATCGATCTCATTACACAAAGCTGCTTTAATACCAAGAACAATTGAAGCACGCATGCATCCGCACGTTTCAATGCAGACTAGGTGTCATTTTATTTGGTGAAAGGGAAAAATGTATATAAATTTATGCGTATAGCTCAAGTTGTACTGCATTTTTATACTAAATTATCTTATATCTAGGGTCCATATGTGTATTGTTACGCACTAGTATCTTTACTTTTTTATGTAGCGCATCAAATTTTATGTAGCAGACAAACGGAAACAGAAAATACTCGAAATACAGGCTTAGAAAATGATACATAGCAAATGCAACCCCGGTGGTTGCCCTTTCCGCAAACTGTGACAAGCGGGAAATATTATGTTTACGGAAACTACAAAGAGCATGATGGTCAGAGTCAAAAGAAGGCTCCGGTGCATATGTGCATCAGTATCAGCTTCTAATTACTCATTCCATTGGACTTCTCCGTATTCAGTATACACAGTGATATACACTGTTGATCGCTTAAAAAAAAGTACAAAGGCGACGGGCGAGCGGATGCAGCGGGTGTAGCGCATCGAGCCAGCGTCGCGTGTGCACTAAAGATTCTAAACAAGCAAGAATTCACCCGAGCCCGGTACGAACCTGCATTGGAAAGTAGGGAGCCGAGCCGATAAGCCGCGTCGTATTGGTCGAGGGGCGTGGCCAAGCCTCGAGTACGAACCAAGCGCGTGCTCGTCGGCACAGCTGCGGCGGCGCTCGCGTGGGGGCCCGAGGCCGGAGCTATAAAAGCCGATCGGTCGTCTGGGGAGCTCAGCAGTTTCACGATATTCGTCGAGCGGTGAACACACGCACGCATCCTCGTCATTCCCTGCAAAAACGAGCAGCGACTCATTCGCAGCGAAACTCAATCAACGCGATCATCATCGAAGTATACTTGTGCTACGTACGAAAAGCTACATGTGTGCAAGTGACGAAAAAAAGTTCTCGACGTTTTTATAAGTGAAAAAGAAAAAAATCAGTGAAAAATAATTCTTTGTGCTGTGAAAAATATAGTACAAAGTTTTCCTCTCGTCGTTTCGATCGATTAAGCAGTTCTGGCTTTCGATCGTTAAACTCAATCAAAATGACCGACAAAATGTCGAAAAGTTTTGAGAAAAAGAACAATAGCTACAGCCACTGCCCCTTGAAGAAGAGGCCAGTGAACGTCGAGATCGACGACGATGGTCCAGAGAGCAGCGTCGAAGGTAGGCATCGATTTTCAACTTTACATTATTTTTTCTCAAAGTTTTTACGGAAATCTCAATATTCGGGAAAAAAAAAATTCTCACGAGTCAAATTTCGAATTTCACTTTTCTGCCATTTGATACCAACGATCAATTTTTTCCCAAGTCCGAAGACTGCTATAAATATTTGGATAAAATCAAAAAAAAAAAAAAATTAACTGAATCTAGAATTGTATTTAATCGTTTCGATTTGTTTATTTCTTTTTGCAGACGAAAAATTCGATTCATCGACCGACACAGCATCCGAGCCGGAAAACTTAAGCACGAAACCGGAAGATCTGAGCAAGACCTCGCGCAAACGCTCGGCATCGCCCTCCCTGTCGATAAACAAAATCCTCTCACCTTCGCCACCAGCATCGCCGGAAGCCAACAACAACAACAACAACAACAACAAGTCGGCGGCAACAGCGATCGAGCAACAGCATCAGCCGTCGCCAGCGAAAATGGCCAAGATCGCCGAGAGCCCGAAATCGTCGTTCCTGTCGCCACCCCCGTCGCCCGAGACCAGCCTGCCTCAATACCCTCACTACGCGAGCCCGATGTTCCATCCCGCGCCTCTGTCTCCGCCTCAGCACATGTACAGCGCCAAGTCGCGAGTAGCGTCCTCGGTAGCGGCGGCCATCCAGCCGATCGCGAAGAAAGGCCGAGTCGAAGTCATTCAGCACGCGAGTCCGCCACCCATGCACTTCATGGCGCCGAGGTCGCCCCTGGACGTGGACCAGCTCACGACGCCGCACTACTCCCAGTGGAGACATCCGCATCCGCACCCGTTCTACGGAAACTTCCCGTCGTACTACTCGGCGGCGGCGGCAGCTGCGGCCGTGGCGCAGGACGGCGGCTTCCATCCAGCCTCGCTGCCACGATATCCCTACTCGTATTTCTCGCCGGCCTCGTCCGGCGATTATCACGCGTCGTTCTCGCCGCCTCTGCCCGTGTCGGCGCTGGGCAGCAGCCCCCATCATCACACGAGCGGCGCCGCCTCGCCGGCCTCGTCGACCGTCTCCACGCAGTCGATTCAGAAGCCGGTGGCGCGCATCTTCCACACGCAGTGGCCCAGCGCGCCCGTCGACGCGATGAGCATGTCGCCGACGAGCAGCACCACGACCATGTCCATGTGCTCGCCGCCGCCGATCTCGCCCGAGGACCTGTCGTCGCCCGGCAGCGACAGCGGCTGCTCGTCCAACGGTAGTGTCAGCAGTGAACGTGTTAATAATGTGAGTGAGCGCAGCCCGAGGAGCGCTGGTGACAGGCCCCAGGGCGCCAAGTACACTTGCGACGCCTGCCAGAAGACCTACTCGACCCACTCGGGACTGACCAAGCACCAACAGTTCCACTGCGCCGCGGCCGATGGCATGCCCAAGAAGGTATTCTCGTGCAAGTACTGCACCAAGACCTACATGACCCTGGGCGCCCTCAAGATGCACATCCGCACCCACACCCTGCCGTGCAAGTGCGAGACCTGCGGCAAAGCCTTCTCGAGGCCTTGGCTGCTGCAGGGTCACATCCGCACGCACACGGGCGAGAAGCCCTTCAGCTGTCAGCACTGCCACAGAGCCTTCGCCGACAGGAGCAATCTCAGGGCTCACTTGCAGACCCACAGCGACGTGAAGAAGTATTGCTGCGAGTCGTGCAAGAAGACCTTCTCGAGGATGTCTCTACTGACGAAGCATCAGGAGGGCGGCTGCCCTGGTGTCGTCTCCTCGGTTAACAGTGCTATCTACGGCTGCTGAGCGGCTATCGAGTCAAAAACAAATTCTACACATTCAAAGTGCCTTTAACGAAAAAACACAAAGAACATTGTACATAGTGGGCGAGCGATATTAAGACTACGACAAAAAAAAAGGGCAAGCTGGTGGAGTACAAAAATAATAATCAAATGAGAGACGAAAGACTTTAACGCGAATGCGCTACAATCGTATCATCGACAGTGTGTTTAGAAGCTTCTGGTCTTGTAATTTAACAAAAAAGAGAGAAAGTTTTCATATTTTAGTATTAGGGATTTCTTTCATAGAATGGTGCACAATCTATTTTTATTCTTCTTTCTCGTCGCGTAATGCTACTATACTATTTTTTTTCTTCTTTCTTTTATCTGTCTTAGGAATGCGTGTAAGCAATTCTTTAGCCGTGAAACTGTCGTGCCATGACTGTTCTTCGATTAGATTTCCTCGTGTGTTAATTAAATAAAACGAATTAAAAAAATGCATTGCTTTCCTAACAAAAAATATAAAATTTGTCATAGCTATAACGTTAAGATTTTTTTCGATTCATGCTTTTTTTCAATTTTTTCGCACCTAGTAATAATGCGTGTAAGGAAAAATTAACAAGTGTGCTTTGAAAATTCATTCGACAATTTCATTAATATGAGCACGTCTCGCTGAAGAGGTATCATTTTAATTTCTTTGAGCAAATGGCAAATTTACATGTTCATACCTAGTCATGTTTTTAGTAAATAAGTGTAACAAATTTTTATATATTGTATAAAAAAAAATGAAAGAAAAGCAGCAAAAGATTGGTTTATTTATGATTTTTCGCATTTTAATTGACTTAAAATGCCGCAGCGTTTAATTGATCTGTACGACACAATGCATTACTGATGTAAAAATTATATTTATATATATGCGACTGTACCATTAATTTAAAGCGATAAAAAAATCATGTACATATAGATTTTAGTTATTAAACATGCATATAGCAAAATAGATATTTTTATATCAGAAAAGAAATAAAATATAAGTATTTCAAATTATAAATCATCTGTTTTATCAATCAAAAACTTTTCCCTATCCAATCATTATAACTTTGAGATTCCAAAAATGAATGAAAAAAAAGAAAATAATTTTTTTACCAAAAAAAAAAGAATTTACCACTCGTTAAATGAGAATTGTTTGAAATAAACGAATCGTGCCAGGTAATCCGAGCCTCGAGAGAGTAAAATTTAATGGGATTTTTCATAACGATCGTCGCGACAAGTCTCTCTCGTACTCAGCCGGAATATGGATAAATATATTTCTCCTGATTTTCGTAAACAAAGTCGAATCGACGCTGCTGCTGCTGCTGCTACGATCCATCGGCGTCACGGTCATCGATCGGCGCGCGCGCGGCATATTACATCGCGGTTCAACAAAATTAGCTCGTCGATCGTTGCGAGTCTCCTCGCGAGCATTACACACATATAACGTATAAAAGCCATATGCCGGAGTCGTTGCGCGCGCAGTCGAGTAAACAACGCGCATGAAAAGGCACTGCTGCTGCTGCTGCTGCTGCTGCACTGGATATATATAAATTACGCTTCGCGCTCGAGCAATAATTTACCTCGGAGCGACACGTTCGATTCTTAAGCATATTAAAGATACGCGCGCGTATTTAATATGTAAACTGCGGCATACAACGCGTGTATACGTCGAGTCCGTGTGCACTTCTGCACAAATACACACACATGCAGACACATATATACGCGTGCGTGTGTTTAAGCATTCAATTGCACGCAAAAATTCAATATATTATACGCGCATAGGCGGTGCTTTTATAAACATTTTCCGTTTCACTTGGGCTACCTATAAATCTATAATGCTCGCACACGGCGCTATTTGAGAGATTCAAATGAATTTTAGCACTGTGAGCGCGCGCCCGAGCAGCAGAGTCTAAAGGCATTATATTATAATTACGTATACTCTGCTCCACTAGCTTCCCTCATTGTCTTCTTCGCCAAATACGCGTGTAAATGCAGCTATACGTTTACTATTGCATTTCCGAACGTTGAGAGATTTTTTTCTCGGCCGTCGCTGCGTTGCCTCCTCTTATATACCGCCAAGTATTTGCAAGGCAGTCCTCGATCAAGCGCGCACACCGCACGATATTCGTTATAATATAACGTGGCACTCGGGTAAAGTCCTAAAAGAGTCTCATTTTGGCGCTTTGTAAAAAGTACGTTATAAAAAGCAAATCCGGCCACCCCAAATCAACTTTGCTCGCAATTTGTTCGTTTCACATGCATTAAAACCTCAGAGCTCTGAGCGCGGCGTGCGTCGTTCATGCGGCTACATACATAGGTATAAGGCGAGGTACACAGAAAGATCTCGCGCGCCAGGCAGGTATTCCGACGGTATAAACAACCTACCCGTTTTTCGATGTGCGAACAAGTTTTATTCTCTCTTTTTTTTCGCTCGCTCGCTCGTCGACTGGAGGAAGTAGCTGTATAGCTATATATACGTTGTTCCCGCGGAAATAAATCGCATCTCGGGATCCCTATTGCGTATGTATATAGCGAAATGGTCCAACCGCTCTATATATATGGCTATATATATACAGAGGCACGGCCGAGAGAGAAAGAGAGAGAGAGAGAGAGAGAGAGAGAGCAAGAGAAGAAGGAAACATTAAGTTGCGCCAGTGAGTGTACGCGCACGTAAAATATATACGAAACGCGCTGACGAAGACTTTTGAAGTCTGATGCGTGACCCCTACTCGGTCACCTGCTGCCGTCTCTGCCACCGCTGCTGCTGCTGCTGGTTTCTTGTCCCTTACTTATATGCCCGTATATACTTGCATGAGGCACCACACCCTTGTGTTCGTTTATACACACGGTTTAGGAAGCTTTTTTGGCAAAGAGAGAGAGAGGGAGAGGAGACCCCCGTTGCGCGACGCGGAGAGCCTTGCGGAATTTAAAGAGAAAAGGAGCGAGGCGATCTTTTTCGCTCTCGCTCGCATATTATATTATGTGTATACAACCTGCCGTGTCAGGGAGAAACTATAAGGAATCTATAACGTGTACTTATATATATGTGTGCCGTGCAGGTATTATTAATCTTGCCGATGATCGCGACGATATATAACCGATATTTCGTACGCGACGTCGTCTCTCTCTTTCTCTCTCTCGAAGGCAGCTACGGCTATACGGCTCGATTCCCAAAGTTGAAATGCATACACACACATGTATCGACTCTTTGTGCATAACGTCGCTTTAGATGTAGAGCGGTGGAAAATTAACATTCGACCTGTGCGCCGGTGTGCAGCTCCTGGATAATCGAGCGCGCGGCATATTTTATTCGTCCCAAGATTATGTAACTCATTCGCCAATATATATTTTGCCTATACATTACACGCGCTTATCTACTCTCTCGCTCCACATGTCTTGCGGAAAGATAGCTGAGCGCGCACATGCTCCTGTGCTGGATTTTTTTTTTTTTTTTGCAGGAACGTCGAGACGTGCGCGTGACTGCGTAAAAAAATCGAAAAATTTTCAACGAAACTCGACGCGCGACAGCCTAAATATTTGACAAAAATACCCTTTGTCATCGAAAATTCTTCGGGGTCAACGGAGCCGTATTATACTACATACCTACAAGAGAAAGAAACGAGAGAGAGAGAGAAAAAGCAGGCACCAACAGGTACTATACAGAGCCCTGCGCGCGCGTACTACAACACTCGAATGTCTTTTTTCGAGTAACAAAGAAAAAAGCCAATAGGCGGACCAGCGCGCTGATTTTTAAATTCTTTCGTACAATCGACAAAAGAAGCAACGAAACACAGAACCTATACACGACATAAAAGTTTTCGCTGCGCGCATGCATATGCGCGTATTTATATTCTGCATATTATGTATACAGGTCGCCGTATATATATACGACGAAGCGAGATCGAAGCGCAAGCTTCAACCGAGAGAAGAGACATTCGAGTCCTCCGAGCTCCATCGTCGTCGTCGATCAAATGTAAAAACATCGCTATAATATGCGCGATTATCTCTTCTCTCTCTCTCCGTGGCGCGCGCACGCCGCGCTCCTTGGAATGTCACCATTCACGTAATTCACTGAATCGATATGTGGTACATACGGCGCATCGGTAATGTAAATACAGCCTCGATGTATATATACACCTTGATGTCCGTCGAGGCAGGTGTCTTCTTCTCTCTTTTCGCTTCTCCGCGCGGTAAGTGTTGAAAAAAGTTTGAATAACAAGAAGCAATAATGAGCCGAGGAAAAAATGTTTTAGGCGACGACTTAGCTCTTTTCTCGGACTGGTTCGATCGAACAGGTGCTTATATGTATACATTTCGAAGCCGAGCGCACAAATTCTTCTGCTCTGCTCCGAAACTCTCTCGTGAGTATACAAGTCGCGCGCGAGCGAGTGCATTAATGTATTATACAGACTGGAGTCGAGGTCCGTTTTAAAAAATCCGGTAGACGTGACCGGTCGTGCTCGCAACTTTACGACAAAAGGGTTGTAACGAGGAATGCCTCCAGAATAAATCCAGCTGTGTGTGTGTGTATTTGTACGTACGCGCATGCCCGGGCGCGAACAATAAGCCAAAACAGGTTGACGCAGTTTTTCAATTTATTATTTTTTTCACTGGGTGGTAACGAACTCGCGTACAATATATACCTTTTACGCGTGACAAGTTTTTTTCTCTCTCTTTCTCTCCCGATTATATACCTACATGTGAGTTTTTTGTCGCAATTTTCTTTGTTCGATTATGAAATAATGAGGTGAAAATACATAATTTTTTCACTATAATTAATTCGACGAGTTCCGATTCTCGTAAAAACTCGATCGTCTAATTAAAATTATGCTGAAAATTTGTCCTACATATACTTTGATTAGGAAATCGATAATCCTGAGCTATTACGTGTTATGTGGAATAAGATGAACTCGCTGGGCCTCAAGGTCGCTTTCTAAAAATCGTCTGCCGAAGGTCTAGCATAAATACGAGTCTATATATATACCTATATTTACCACAACAAGTGCTCGTATATTAGCATATAGCTAGAGCGACGAAATCTTCCGGTTCAGATTACGATTACTTACATGCACCTGCTGCCATATACCAGTATCGTATATTGCTCTCCCACTTCTTATAAATAAAAGCTTGCGCGTGCGTATATATGTACAATATACATATACACGCCATAAAGTAAGTGTAATATGGATACGCGCTTGAATAGGCGAGGATACTACACTTTGCATGCGTTCGCGTACTCGACCACGTCCTCCGCGGGCCCGACGAAGCCCTCGGCATTTATCGCTTCCGGGAAGAGACAGCTCTTCGACGGGCGCGTTTGATCCGCGCAAGTGTTCCTCATATATCCGAGTCTCGATTACTCGCGTGCCCGGCCTCGTAATTAATGTTACAAAATATGGCGCGTTTATTTGATTTACTCGAGGTTCCGATTGCCAGTCATTCGAAGTATATTTGACCTTTTAAGGCAGTTGGTAGCCCAACTGCCGTATCGATATTAAGCGGTCATCGGCTTCCGAATTGTATCAAAGTGATCGTCCAGACGCGGGTCTACGAAATAATCAGCTGACACGAGCTGTGGACACAGCCGCGGAAGGAAGTGATTGAGATGGATTTTCCTGTAATTATATAGAGAAAAAAAACTTCAAAGTAGCATAATTTATTATTGGTATGCATTTGAATGTATTGACATTGACACAA